CCCTCCCAAATACCATGCCTCCCCTCCCCGTTTCAATGGCAGCCGAAGCAGCAGCAAAGCAGAGGCTGACAGGCTCCATCTTGGCAAAACTGTCGTAATTATGTTCTTGTGTGTGCGTGAGGCTGCAAATGTCTGTGAATGGGGCCTGGTTGCCCCGGGGCCAAAGTGGGGGTGGGGAGACCACAATCGGAACTCCGAATCCAGTTCGTCAGCAGCCCCCAGGTAGGCCTGTCAGAACTTCCAACAATCACTAAGAAACTGGTCCTAAATCAGGGAGGTCCCATATGTGCATCACGTCCATTGCTCAGTTGCTCCACTGACTCCTGAAGGCAGCCTGGCCGGGGGTGGAATTGCCCCTAGCAACAGAGCCCCCCCTCAAGGGAAGGCACTCGAGGGAGGTGGGGGCTGTTTCATCCTGCCAGCCCCAGATGAAAAGGGTACAGGAATCCTCCAGGAGAATCAGCCTGCGTGGTCTGGAGACCCCCAGTTTATGGGGGCTTCCCATCATTTCCCCAAAGGACACCAGGGATCCAGCTCTCAAATCTTCTCCGCTTTCCTTATTTCTTGGGCAGTATTGAGAAACGGTCATAATAAAATGGGTGTTTTCTAAACATTAAACAAGGTTGGAATTGTAAGTCCATCTTTTCGTTATTTCATACTTGTTTATTTTTATTCATAAAGTTCACGTATTCTTTGTGAAATTCATTTATAAAAGTTATGTTAAAAGTTCTTTTTCCATCTTTCTTGCCTTTCCTCCCCCCCCTCTTTTTTTTCTCCCCCCACCTTTTCCATTACCAGTCAAGGCTCTTTAATTAGCAGTGGGAAAGTCAGGATTATTCCTTTTGACCACGATCTTGACCGAGAAGAGGACTATGATGAACTAGGCAAACAGCTAATAGAAGATTTTTTAGAAAAAAGGGCTAGGAATTGGCAGGAGGGAAAGAGGCCTCGATTCTCCAAACAGGGCAACGGGGCCCACCTGAAGAATTCCAGGTCCCCTCATAAAGTTTCTGTGGAATTTGCTCGCCCCGAGGCCCCGTCGTATCCAGTGGAATACGATACGATAGACAGGAGAAGGAAAAAGAAACGGAGAGACATTGCAGAGTGTGAATGGAGAAGGGCTCAAATCAACGGGAGTCCGAGAATTCCCCACGAAACCCTTATTTCTGGAAGCACCAGGAGAATAAGAACCGGAAGTTACAATGACGCTGATCTGTATAGCCGCCGGGAAATTGGGGCTCAGCAGCCCGGATGTACGGATTTGCTTCCCTACAGGAACACCCTCCTGGTCCAAAGCGGCTGGTTCTCTGACAGCCCAGAGAGAAACTGCGACCCTCAGCCAGGCCGTTTTGGGAGTGAAGGTCGGCTGCAACCAGAAGAGGCAGCCAGTGGATTCCCGCCATCCGGAGCGCTGGAGGAACTGGGGAGCAGCAGCTGGCCTGAAGATCTCGAGGGCTCTCCTGGTTCCGATGAGGAAGGGAAGGGAGAAATGGCCCACGGCTGGTATGAGCCCACGCGTGGCGCACTCAAGAAACACGTGGCCTTCTCGCCTGGCCAAACGCCGTCGGAGGGAGACCTCAGTGCGGTGGATGAGCTGCAATGCTTGGTGGAGACGGTGTCCGAATACCTGGCCGAAAAGGAGGAAGAGATTAGCAGCTGGGAAGCCCTTCCGAAGCAGGAAAGCAGGAATCACGGCCTCCCCATCCAGGTGACGGAGGAGACGGCCCAGGCAGAGCAGGCCAGGACAGCCCCGGCTGCTGTGGAGGAGGAGAAGAGCGAGAGCCGAGGAGAGGCCTTATCGGACATTCTGGGGGTGAAAGACACAGCCCAGTCCTTCTTCAGCTTTCTCACAGACAAAGTGAGCTCTGGAAAGACACTCCTCACATCCTCCGTGGAGAAGTTTGTCTCTTCGGCGCCTGAGTTGGCCGATGTCCCCGCAAGGGACTCGTCCAGCCAGCCTCCTCCGGGTGTGGAAGCAGAAAGCAGGCCTGATCTCAGCTTGCCTGAAGAAGGGCCGGCTTCCCTCCCTGAGCAGAGTCAGGCGAAAGCGGCTGGTGCTGCCAGTGTGAGTCTCCCAGAAGCCTCTGACAGGGATGACAAGGCCTGTCCGCCCCCCTCAGCCACCGATCGTCCTGCAGATGACGCCGAGGGCCAGTCTGCCTTTCAGAAGACCAGCGCGGCTGTGAGTTCCCTCTTGGGTATGTTCGGTTCTTTAAAAACCTTGGCAGAGAAGAAGGAGCCAAAGAAAGCGACCACGAAAGAGGAGACGGCCGTAGTAGCTGGACCCTCCCCTGTAAGGGGAGCTGAGGCCAGAGAGAAGCCGGGAGAAGCCGACACAAAACCCAGCAGCTCCTCCCTGGAAACGAGGAAGGGGGGACCAGCAGCTGACCTCTCCGGGGCTCCAGCACCTTCCGCCTCCAGTTCCTCTGCTGGTGTTACCCTGAGAGCGGGTTTGGGTGGGGTGGCTGTTCCTGGGAGGCCACCGGAGTCTCCCGAAGTCCCCTGCCCCTCAGTGCAGCCGGACAAGACAGATCGGGAGATCCCTCTGGTGCCTTTAGCAACTCAGCCTCCTGAAGACAAGGCGCAGGAAGGGCCGAAGGAGGGCGTCACCCCGCCTTCAGAACCAAGAGAGTCTCCCGTCAGTTTTTTTAGTCCTCTTAAAAAATG